ATCACCTCAAAACCAAAAAATACATTTTTGAAAATCAGAGAAAAAATGCGTTAATTTTTGTTTTTAATATTTACAAAGTAAATTAATAAAAATGCATTATTATTTAGGTTAAAAATTATTTTATCTAATATTTTGAAAGAAAAACTTATAACAAAAGAAATCAAAATACACGTGGTCTAGACGATTATTTAAAAAAAGTTGCGCAAATAAAATACTATTTTGTTTTTAATTTTATTTCTGTTTTTAATTTTTTTTTGTTTTTAATTTTATTTTGTTTTTAATTATATTTTGTTTTTAATTTTATTTTACAAACACATTTTAGAACTTTAAAATATAATAAAAATGAATATGATTTGGAAATTGTATGTAAAAAATAACAATCGGTGTTTTAAACAAACAAAAAATAAATCTATGACGTCATCCACAAAAACAACATGTCTTGGGACTTGGTAGTCCCTTTAAATATGTTATATTAACATTTGTTATAGTATATGATATCTTTAAATATGTTATATTATCATTTGTTATAGTATATGATATCTTATGTTTAACTTAAGATTAGTTTTAACTAATTGTAAATGATATCATTTGCAAGATCTTTTATTGAAAATATATTAATTGATAATAAGCTGAAATATTATCTTAAACATATTTTATTTTAATGTAATTTATTTTTATTGTATATCTGGAACAAGAAGCCCTAAGAGATTGTGATTGTTAAAAATTTTGATCAACATTTTATTTCCTCAATCTCTTTTATGGAATTTAATTTTTAATATCTATTAAACATTTTCTCTTCGTTTTTAATCTATCAAATTCTTAACTTTTAATCTATTGAATTGTTTTAAAAATTTCTTGTGTAACTTTAATAAACTAGAAAACAACTGTATAAATATTTTTAACCAGCTGAAGATAAAAAATGTTTTAAAAATATTTATGTTAATTTTTTATATTTCAAATTATTTTTTAACTTCCTCAATGTTTTTAACATATTATTTGCCTGATATTAGTTCAGTAGGTGCACCAAATAATAAGTATCTTTAGCAATAAAAAATAGTAAAATAAAATAGAAGGTTAAATCACTTAAATCCAGAATTCACCTGTAAAAGTGAAGTTACAAAGTAGTGTTAAAAAATGTTTATGTAGTGAAACAGCTTTCAAATTTTCAAGATAAAATAAATACTTCACCACACACACACACACACACACACAAACACACACACACACAAAACCATTCACCTGTTTGATAAATCATTAAAAAAAAAATATGAGAAAATTTAAAAACAACTCAATATTTAAACGAAAAAGAAGAAAAAATACTTATGCAAAAAAGAAAAAATATTATGCAAATCTTTGGTGAAAGTTTAACTGACATAAACAAATTAGATATAGATAAAAAATTTTAAACTTGGCTGTATGGAGAAAAAGCTGAACAAAATATGGTAAGATGTTTGTTTTTTGGTTGTTATATATCTTTATATTTTATGTTTATTTCATTTTATATTTATTATAAATTAATAGATAACAACAAAAATTTTTTTTTAAAAGAGTACCGCTACCAGTGTTTATTAACCCTTTTGTGCTGAAGGTGCACATATGTGCACCTATAAAATACCAACCAAAATATCTCTCTTAAAGTTATTGTTCAACCCTATTTAGTCGTAAATATTTGTGCTCATAGACATGAATTGAGTTTAGGAGAATAGGAACCATCAATTTAGGGATAGTTTCATGTTTAAAACACTAAAGATATTTGACAAAAATATATATAACTTTTAGACTTTTCTTATTGTAGATAGCTTTGAGAAATTATAAATGATCCAAATGAAGCTCTTTGAATCCTTGATAAAATGGATGATGTTTGTGATTGTTTATGCGAATCTTCAGAGTCTGATGACAAGAGATTCCAAATGAATAAGATAAAATTCCAAGAGAATTAGACTATTATTTGCTCACCAACAGCTCCATTGTCAGCAAGTCAGTCATCAGAAATAATTTCATTGTCATCATCTGAAGATTATGTTAGTTCCAAAGATGATTCAACAAAAAAAATAGACGTGGACTTAATGTGCTATTAATAATTCATGAACTAATGATAACAATGGACTTTATACAATAACATTTACTGATAATGATGTTACTGCAAATAAGAAAACAAAATTACGTAAACAACCAACAATTCCAACCATAAAATCAACCTTTATCAAGACAATTAAAAAACTTCAAGATTAAGAAATCTATTTTTAGTAAAGACAACAGAAAATGGAAAAAAAATTAAAAATACTAGGACTATTATTCCATTTATGGTAACACCAGGACCAACATTTAGAAAATCTGTAATACCTAATTGTGATGACAATATTAAACCAATCCATATCTTTGAATTATTTTTTGATAATGCTTTAATACAAAAACTTCTTACTGAAACAAACCACTATCATTCAAGAAGGTTACAATCCTCTCCTATAAAGCATAAAATGATATGTTGTATGTAAAGTTGGTTTGCTTGAGTATCTTTATGAGAATAAGGTTTACTAAACAGGTATGGCACAAGTTGATTGCAGTCAATTTTCCAAGGAGATTATAATGAAGTTAAAAATGAAGTTATAATGAGGGTATAATGATTGGCAAATCTATGGTTCAATTTTGATACAGCTCTTGATTGACAGCAATCTTGTTCATATACTTTTAAGAATTCACTATCCAAACTACTGTGATGAAGCTGGGGGCAGTTATTAAAATAATTGTTGCCCTACTAAAACTACTTTATTTGGTCAGTACCAGCTCCATTTAAAAGGTATTCATGGATCACATGTTTTTTGCTCATTTTGCAATGCCCATTTCTGCCTTGATTCTTTGTTGTTGCAATATGTGGCATTCATAGTTCATTTTAAAAATTCTATGTAGATATTTATTTGTGTTGAATAAATATAATAAACAAATAAAATTTAAAAAATATTAAATTGATTTAAAAGTGTTAATTTAATATTGTCTACTTATCTAAATAAGGAAAGTAGCCCATCGAAAGTAGCACATCAGTTAATTTTGTTTTGAGGTATTTTTTATATTTTTACTGAATAACAAAAATCAGGTAAAAAAGAAGAAAAAAAAAAGAAATTGAGGTCATCAGAGAAAAATGTTAATTAATTATTTTCTAATTATCTAAATTAGGAAAATAACCCATCAAGTAAAAGATGAGGAAATTTTGTACCTTTTTAAAAGTCTTTGTTTACTTCTAAAACAATATAGCTACTCGGTGTAGTTAAGGCAATTTTAAAATATTATAGTGTCTGTATGATATTTTGTTGACTACGACATAGTTCCCTTAAATGGTCTGGTCTGTGAATTATGACAAAAAAAATTAAAATAATAAATTTTGCGATATTATAAAATATAAATGTTTGTAGCGAAAAAACCCAGACCGTGGAATCTTTTTTTTTTATAAAAATCATCTTAAAATCACAATCACTCGTCCAAATTTAATTAAGATTTTATTTTAATACGTTTTTTAGGTGAAATGAACATTATAGTTTAACAATATGATCTGTTCTGATTGTTTATTGGCAATTTTCCATAATTATAAGCTCTTTCTTGGTCGAAATTCCAGTATTTTTTGTGAAAATTGATAGAAATATTGTGTTTTGACAACTATATATAGTTAATATACGTCAGAACCGATTAGAACTAGGATCAGTAGTAAATGAAGGAACTTTTTTAAAAGATTTTAACTAAATTCATGTTAATGCCGATGAGCGGAATTGATCTAAAGACTCCAAAATAGTGCTCTTTAGATACATTATTACGGGTAGTAAAAAGATTTTGAAAATTATATAAAAAAAAGAGTTTCTTTAAATATTATATAATCCTTAAGTAAAAAAAATTATAACATTAAAGATCTTGTTTGGGCATAATATGCTGACAAAACCATGCTAATTCCAAATAAAAGAATTCGAATATTTTATAAAAGGCCTTAACTACACCGAGTAGCTATTTGAAAGGCTTAATTAGCAAACATTTAAAATTGGCAAAGCTTGTCTATAAATATGAACTAATGCAGATGCCGTCAGTTTATTATTTTTACTTTATTATTAAAATTTTTGGATTCCAAATTTCTTCTGCTTTCCAATGATATATACTTTGTAGAACTTATTTTGTAAGAAAACTAATATATTTAAGTGTTAAGGTGACATAATATTGTGCTTTTTAGATTGTCAAAATAAATTCCGGCACTAAAGGGTCAATTACTTTAAACATTGTTTAAAGGAGGGGCACTATTTGTACATCCTGGTCGATATTAGATACATTAAACCCCCTCTGCCCAGCCTAAAATCCCACCTGAGAGAGCAACCTATTTAATGATGAGTGATAAGTCACAATTGCAAGCTCTTCATGGGCAGGTCAGTAAGCAGGTTTTAGGTTGTTAACTAAAAGACATTTTTCTAACATTATAGAAGCTAACAAAAACCACTATTTTTAAAAGAGAATTAAACAGAAAACAGTCCTACAAACTTAACTAGTAAAAAAAAATTACTAAGTTATTAAAATTCACTATCAATATTTATTACTAACTCAGGCGATCACAAAAAAGCTTTAAGTAGGTTATATTTTTGAAACCATTATTCTTAGAAGTCTATGCGGTAAGTCTAGAATGTGGTAGAGGTGTAGTGGTAAAGCACTCACTACATAAGCAAGAGGTTCCAAGTTCAATCCCTACCACGTCCCTGGTAGTACCATGCTCAACTTGTTTCTCAGCACAACAGCCATGTTCGTCAAGGTTAGTTTTTCGGAATTATAAAGTTGAGAGAGGGTTATAACCACAATTAGGTAGCCTCCTCATCTGTAGTGGCCTTCTGAGCCTTGGGGAGGTGAATTTACATTAAAAAAAAAAGTCTGCAGTTACAAATTTAATCTATATGCAAACAAACATATATCGGTTTATTTACTACTCAGTTCATTAATGGTAATAAAGAGTTTACAAACATCTTGTATACTTATCTTACATCAACTTTGAAACTTATTCCTCTGCTGCAAACTGGGCAACCTTTATTTTCTGGAATATTGTCTTTTGTCAGTTGAGAGGCTTTTATATAAGGTGATGGAACTTTGTGAGGTAAAATCACTAAACAGTAAAATGTCACTAAATAAAATATATATTGAGAATTTTGTTTACAATAGTGTTTACATAAGATCTAATAGATTTTTGTGTCTATATTATTTTTCTCTTTTATTAAAAAAGTTATATCACATGACACATTATTGTAAGGATAAATGATCATGTTTTAATTGGTATATTACAATATTAAACCGAAGTTATTCAATGAAAAATGAAACTAAAGCATGCCTAGGTTTCATAACATGTGTAAACCTTCTCTAAAAACAATTTACAATAAAGTTCATGGCGCAGAAGACAAATATAGATAAACAGTTTGATGTCCCTCAGAAACTGCTCTCACCCCCTGTAGGACTACACTATTTTTTATGCTTAAAACCTTTTTAGTTTAGTAATATTTAAATAAGTGTAAAGATGACTTTCCACATTTTTGTTATTTTACAAGAGTAGGAAAGGGAAAGTAAAAATAATCACATGAACTTTTATAGTTTAAATTTTAATTTTTCAAAAGTAAAACCATGCATGCTTATATGATTTTTTTTTTCCTTGCCCAATTCTGTAGATAATCAGACAAATGGAAAGCCAACTTAAAAACATCTTTTAAGCAGTTTAATAAACAAAATAACTTAAGTTTTGGAAACCCCACGACATTATTACAAAAGTTGGAATACAAAATATACTTGTTACTTACAAATAAAATAAAATTAGATAAAATTAAAAAAAAGAAAAAGAAAAGTTAAATTTATAAGCAAATCTTTTTAATTGAAATATTCAGCAACAGAAAAAAAATTTATAGATTCTTTTAATACAATATTAATAAACAAAGAATAAAAAAACTCAATAAAAAAATATCTATTGAAAAAATTATTTACTTTTTTCGACCAACACAAGCTGCCTAGAGGACTGCTACTACTCTATAGAGGAAACAGAACACACATTCTTTTTCACACATGTAGTATTTTAATTCATCAGGATGATGTAATTGTATTGATTAGTTTTATAATTATTTAGAATCCCTTCAATCAAAGTTTTTTCAGTTGATGAAAAAACTGTTTTAAGAATAAAATTGTGGTCGAAAACAGTTTGTAGTTTAAAAAAATGAATTGCATTAATTGCATTAAATTGCACTGATGATGAGACTAGTAGACCATACATAGTCTACTGGTTTCAAAATACTTGCCATTAAAACCAGTATGTATTTGAAATAAGCCCAGTTAATGTAACTGAAAATTAAAGGTTTCAAACTCTTTTCTAAGTAAATACTAATTTCAAATTATTTGGGAATGGCTAATAGTGAAACTTTAATTAATTACTCAATAAAGCATGAGATTTGCAAAAAAATTGACTGAAAGTATAAGTGATTACTACTTGTAAATCAAAAGGGTTTCTAAAAACAGAAAATAATTTTTTTTTTTTTTAAAGTTTTGTCAGCTTAATTCAAAATGATGCGTAACAGTAGATTGTGTATCAGGTTTACATTAAGATTGTGAATGTCAAGTACACCAAAATTATTTTTACTGGTTTGGCATTGTATTTTCTCCATAAAAGCCGGACATTTGGCAACCCTATGTAAGTAGGCATTGTATTACAGATTTACATTCACTATAAAGTACTTCTATTAAAAACAACATATTATATCATATCTGAAACCAGTTAACCATAGCTGTATGTGCCATAGTTAACTTAAAACAAGTAATTTTTAATAAACATGATTTTGAATATAAAGACACAAAGAAAAAGGAGTAAAAAGCTACTAGTTAAGTAACACTTCCCTTGAAAGAGTTTCTTAAAGAATTTTTTTTTACAATCTATTGTTTACGATCAACAAAACTGTAGTTAGGCTACCTTACACCCTATTTAAGGAGGGAAGGGAACAGGGACCATCAAGTTTAGGGATCCATTTGCAAATTTAGGGCTCTTTTTCAAATTTAAGCTTTCTTTTTTTAAAAAAATACGTATTTTACAGTTTTATACAGGGGTGTGGAGTCGTAAAAAAAGAGTACCAACTCCGACTGACTCCAATCGTTGAAATTTTCAGAGTACGACTCCAACTGCGACTCCAACTGCAACTCCAACTCCAACTCCGACTCCAAAGCTAAATATTTTTTAGTTCATATTTATAAACATGGTGAAAATTGATAATTAATAGAAACGAATCAATATCATCTAACATTTTATTTATTTTTATTAATTTCTTTAACAATAAACAAAACTTTATAAAAATATAAAATCAAAAAAAAATTAATCTGCATTATTTGTCCTTAGAAATAAATTAGCTTCAATAATATCCGACTTCATTGATGCTCTCAAATCGGATCTGATGATTCTGAGTGCAGAAAATAACTGTTCTACGAAGACTTGTGTCAGCGGCAATGCCGTTGCGGTCAGAGCGTCTTGAATGATCACAGGGTATCTATGAATTGCATCATTTACTGCTAAATTTGAAGAACGGTCAAATTTTTCTACCTCTTTTAAAGCTTGGCAAAAGTCTATTTTAAATTTATCTAAGACTGTTGTAGTTTCTCCGCTACAACCCTAAACAACGACGCTTAGATTGCTCTTGCTCATCCAAATATTTTTCAAAATCATCTTTTATAACGGCCCCAGCTTTTATAACAGCCCCATTAGATTTGATGAAGATGAAGATATATCAATACGCTGTTCATCTTGCAAACCTATACCTTTGATTCGAATGGCTAATTCATACAAAGCATCTTTAGCTCTAATTTGACGTTCTCCAGTAAGTAACACTCGGACCATAGGATCAACGTAGATACCCGCTAGTAAGGTGTCATTGTCAAGGAGGGTACTTTCTCTGCGTATCATTGAATTTTTAATTCCATCAGCTATTTTACAATTAGATTTAGAAAAACGGAAAATAAGATGACACCATTCTTTATAAAACATACCAGCAGTTAAACTTGCAGATTGTAGTTTTTTTGTGGTGATATAAGGTTCACAAAGAAGACTTTCAAGTTTTTTTAATTTTTCCCATTGCGTATCCGTCAATGTTACAGCTGGGTTAACCATATCAGTAAGAAAAGGTTTTAGTTCAATGATACGCTCAATCATCAAATAAGTACTTCCCAAGCGTGTAGCTTGATCTAAAATGGCCCCTTTTCCAGCACGCCACTTCAATATGGTATCAAGTTTTGGTGCTCTGCAAGAAACCACAACACTCCGTATTTTTGCAATCAATCGACTAGCATGATATTCTCTCAAGCCATCGCGAAACGCGAGTTGCAATGTATGCACAGCGCAGCGCATGTGGTGTATCTGGAAAATATCTAAAGCATCATCTACAAATCCATCTAAATTAAAATTATTATTAATTTCTTCTGAATCTTCATTTTCATTCATACTAAATGCTGCTACATCTTCATTAAGCTTCTTTACGGTGCTGAGTATATTAGTTGCATTATCGGTCACAATGCATAATATTTGTTCCTTATGAATAGAAAACTCTGTAAGAACATTCATAATTAGTTCTTTCAAATAGCTACTTGTATGATGCGCTTCAGTATTCCGTACTGCCAAAGTTCGTGTAACAACTTTTTTTCATCATCAAGGAACTGAACGTTAGTTGCAAAATAATTAACTCTCTGATGGGTACATCCATCTATCTTCAAAAAAAGAAACCGGCTAACTAAAAAGGTTGTGAGCATATCTTTCTGCTGTTTTGCCTCTTGTAGTACCAAATTTCTAATATTACTTCTTTCTAAAGAAATGTCAAATTTGCGAGCCATTTCACCATTTAAAAAGACAAAAGCAGGAGAAGAGAAAAATGCTAACCGTAAAGAATTTGAAACCACCATTTCGATGATGCAGCTTTTGAATTTTTCTGCAGTCATAGCCACAGAAATATATTCAGACTTAAAAAAATTGGTTACAGGTGTTTGATATGAAGAACTTGGTGTACGTTCAACTTTACACTCTGACGTCTGGTTATCCTTTTCAATAACAGTTTTGAAAACATTTAGATGATAACATTGTAGATGTCGCTTTAAATCAAATACTCGGGACGGGGCACTACTACCTTCTCCAGAATATGCACTGATATTGACGCCACATCTTTCTTTCTCACCGTTTTTGGTCACTTGGCATATGCAAAACTTATCATCAACAGTGACTGAGAAATATTCAAAAACTGACGATCTCTGCTTTTGCCACCTTTTATCCATGGTCAAGTTGTTAACCGCTGTTTAAAATAAATAAATTTATTGCTTTATGCATTGGGAAGCAAACTCGAAAAAAAATTTAAATTAGTTATTTGTGTGAAAAATGATACTCACATGAAACTGAAAGTCCACTGTAACTTTAATGTATTTGTTTTTTTAAAAAATTCTTTGAATTCTTTAAAAAATGTAACGCAATAATTAAATTTTTTTTTTTTTTTAGCTAAATATACTAAAAATTCTATGAAGGTTGAATATATTGCACATGCATGTGCAATACCGACAAGTTTTACTGTTGGAGTCAGAGTCGCGATATTTTTTAACGACTCCGACTCTGCAAAAAATGTCGCGACTCCACGACTCCGACTCTGACTCCACAGCCCTGGTTTTATAGAACAAGATGTAGTCCAAGGATTTCATTGAAATAGTAGCAAAGCAAATCTACATCTTATAAATATTTATTATAAGTATTCTAAAGATAAACTTAAACCCGTACACAATTACATCATACCTTTCTAAATACAATATGATGCAAGTACCATTAATGCATTTTTCAACACCAATTTTTTTTTAGTTCTGATTCAGCCCCAACAAAGCTGCAAGCAACCGTTACTAAAATGGGAGTTACTAGAAAACAAAGTATAGAGTAAAAGAGCAAGAAAACAGTTGACAGAAGACTTGAAAAGTTGAAAGTTGTATGAGCCAGAAAAACATGAAGATGGGAGAGAGTTCCAAAGGGTTAAAGTGCGAGGGAAAAAACTATAGGATTAAAAGTTTTTAGAGCATGTAGGGACATTTACAGTAAAAAGATGAGACTTTGAATGAGAAGTCGAG